GCAGGCAGGTCAACTGAGGTCAGGAGTTCAAGACCAGCCTGGCCAACATGGTGAAAAGCCCATCTCTACTAAAAGTACAAAAATTAGCTGGGCATGGTGTCGGGCACCTATAATCCCAGCTGCTCGGGAGGCTGAAGTAGGCAGATTGCTTGAACTGGGGAGGCAGAAGTTGCAGTGAACAGAGATCTCACCACTGCACTCCAGCCTGGGTGACAGAGCAAGATTCTTGATCTTTTTATGAAAAAATAAAAAATAAAAAAAATCAAGATGGACGATGTTATTTTCTAGGGTTCCACTGCCCATTACGGCAGCTACTAGACATATGTGGCTATTTAAATTAAAATTATGTAATCAAAATTAAGTGAAATAAAAAATCCAGTTCCACATTTTAAATCCTCAATAGCCATGGGTTAGTGGCTATTGTATTGGACCATGCAGATTTATAGAATCTTTTTGTCCCTGCAGAATGCTCTATTGAATAGTGCTGTTCCAGAGCAAACGATTGGAATTCACACATACCACAGAAACACATTCTAGATCCAATCATATAGTTGTTTGTAAAACACCATACACAGTTTAGTGGCAGTGACTTGGAGCACCAGCCTGCTGGCGCCTGGGCATCAAGGAAAGATGGTCTGCGGACTTCTCTCTGAGTGTGGACTGGCCCTGTGTGTCATGGGAGAGGATGGGGAGCCAAGTCTCTGGAGAAAGGGCAGGTGCAGATGAGCCATTTCCATTTTCCACTCCTGCAAGTCCCACAACCTCAAGTCCACACCTGCCGCCAGGATGTGCTTGTACAAAAGCCCAAACCAAAGCACATTTTGGATTAATTTTCTGGCCGTAATTTTGTTGCAAAGTCTCTCTTGTGCCTTTGATTAAGGACTTTCTTTCGTTTTTGCCATGAATTTCAATGAATCTGGACCTAACAGTATTTCCCACCAACCAGAACAATAGCACAGGTATTGACAAAAGAAATAAGGCTTCAGACAAGAATCATAACAGAGACTGAAAAATAGAATCCAGAGCTCCCTGCTGATCACTTTAAGTGAATGTCATTGGCTCATTCTCATTGACAGCCAGCAAGTAAACATACCCGCAGACTAAAGTAAGGTGGGAAAGGCGGGACCATTCTTTGGTATTTGTCATATTATCCACTTTAAACTTGTACAAACTGAAAAGTAATAAACCACCAATCATCTTCTGTTCTCTGGTGTATCTCACTAGGACGGCTATCTCAAGAAAGAGACTGTGACAGTATGTTTTCACAAGATTGCTCCAAGTCATCTCTGCAGCGCGTACAGGAGATACACAACTCTCATTGCTTTTATCAACAATTCTTCCAAGTGGCCTTATTGGACACAGATTTTATTTTCTTGGTACACTGTAACTCCCTTGAAACTGCTAATTATACATATTTGCGTCCCAAAGTATCTTATACAGTGGAAGGTGCTCCGCATTTTGGTTCGACCTTATCAATATTCATTGAACAACTGAATGAATGAACGCATGAAGGAGATCCCTGATAACAAATTTGTCTAGCCTAAATCATGTTAAGTTTTGGCTGATAGGAATAGAAGACTGGGAGGAGGGGAGAGGTGCAAAATTTGAGAAGAAACACAAATTGTGAGCTCATTGAAAAGGTATCATTTCAAAATCTCCTTTGAATCTCCATAGGGATATGTTGAAAGAGGAAATATTTCTAAGGGCAATTGTGAATTTCAGTTACTGGAGCAGAGGATCAGAGAAGAGTTGCATCCAATCTATTGTCTTTCCAAAGAATTTCTTTGCTGATGTTCTTCCCAGAAGTAGGAAATGCAAAAATATCGCATTAATTTGTAGTGTATAATTTTGTATTAATAGCCAAGTGGCACGATAACAGAATCAATTGACATTGAAAATAGGATACAAATAGGATGAATTGAACTGAAGCCTATATACTCTTTCACAAACTTGAATGAAAATGGATCCCAAAGCTAAAGCGACCACTTTGTAATCCTCATATTTCAAATCATCCCTGATAAGTCAGCATCCAACCCAGTATTCAATGTTTCCAAGTAAAGAGAACCACAGGGGTATGTTAAAGGCCACAAGAGGGAGTTTATTAGAAATAAGCAAATATTTCTAACCTCTTTTGTGTTTCAACAATGCCGGTCACCAACTTAAGCAAGTTTTTTGATGTAACTTTCTAGGTCATGTATCTTTAAATCACCGTGACTCCTATTTGTCTCTGTTCCAACTGTTTTTCTGGTGTCTCTCTTGCTGAAACGGTTTCAATTAGATCCTGGAAAGGGTTGATACAGAACTCTTGCACAGCGCTTGCCAACATGGGAATTGGTTTTAAACATTGCTGTTTTTCATCCAGAAAAAAATTTCCCCTTCCCGCCCTTGAGTTAGAAGAGATTATTCTCAGACAGGCGTTTAGCTGATTTTTAATGTCAAAGAAACTTAATTTGCAAACTCGTTAGAAACTCTTTAGTGAAAGCTGCCTAGTAAAACAGATGATTAATATTGGTAAGCTCCTCATTTGCATATTAATTAGTCTCCATACTCAACTAATTAAAACTGCACTGCCTATTTGTGGACTTTCCTCTAGACTACAGCCTTGTTCCTGTGTATAAGCTTGTATTTTAACTAAAATAAGGGTTAGTGATTGTGATTGTACTTTTCTTAACATACCGATTTTTCCATCTGTGATACTTAGGACTCCTCAAGGTCCTAGAACCATCTTGAAACCACCTTTGCACAAACTGTAGCAGTGAGAAGACTACGACACCGGAAAATTATGACAGCAGAAGAAATGATCTCAACCTACTCCATCTTGTTTTCACCTCCAAGCTGTCCTTGCTGATTCCAGGGCATAGGGGGAGCTAACTCTAAAAGGAATTTAGTTTACAGTTTAACTTTGAAACAAAGACAATAGGCCCTTCCCCAAACAAACAAACAAACAAACCTCCTTCTTGCCTGGGAACCAGACCGCCTTTGTAAAACTAACAAATTAGCCACAATATTAGAAATTACGGCTCAGGGGTCATGCAGCCAGAGGCCACAAGATTCTAAACTCCTGGATATGGTTTGTATCTGTGTTCCCACTCAAATCTCCTGTCAAATTGTAATCCCCAATGTTGGAGGCGTAGCTCGGTGGAAGGTGATTGGATCGTGAGGGTGGATTTCCCATGTATGATTTCCCATGATCTCTTTGGTGCTGCTCTTACGATGGTGAGTTCTCGTGAGATCTGGTTGTTTAAAAGTCTATGTTACCTCCCACTACCCCTGCTCCCGACTCGCTCTTGTTCCTGCTTCTGCCACATTAGATGGCTTGTACCCTTTTGCCTTCAGCTATGACTGAGAGCTTTGTGAGGCATCCCCAAAACAGAAGCCACAATGTTTCCTGTACAGCCGGCAGAACCATGAGCCCATTAAACCCCTTTGCTTCATAAATTACCCAGTCTCAAGTACTTTGTTAGAGCAATGAGAGAACAGATGAATACACTCCCCAATTGCTCCTATGAATAACATCAATATTGTAAAACCTAAGACTGGTATTTGAGATATTTTTCAGACCCTGCATTCTGATGCACCAACTGGCACCACCCAGACTGGTAAACCGGCAATTGTAACACAATGGTAAGATTGGCGTATCTAAAGTATCTAAATACAGAGAAAGTACAGTAAAAATACAGCATTATAATCTTATGGGACCATCATCAGAGATGTGGTCTGTTGGTGACCGAAACTTTACTGTGCAGTACGTGACTATATTTCTGAGGTTCTTCAGGTTTGGATGCAAAGAAAACAGCTGGATGCTCCAGTGACTGGTAATAGTTAAAGTGGAAAAGGTACCAAATAGTTTATCGATATTTGGTGTTTTTGAGTCTTGCTCTATAAATGAACGTGTCTTGCCAGTATAATTTTGTTATAGTTAATCGGAGCTATTTTAAAATTATTTAAGCATTTAATCGTTATTTTACTATTTAATTTTCAGTAAAGAACGATCAGGTGGGAAAGCAGGCTAATTTGTTGTTAAAAATTATACTTGCAGAAAATCTAGCTGTTTGGATCACAAGACCCCAGCTTTTATTGGTGAGAATGAATTTCCACTGTAGACATAACAAAACCAACTAAATAAAAAAATAAAAAATACCTATGAAAGGCCAGGTACTGTGGCTCACGCCTGTAATCCCAGCACTTTGGGAGGCTAAGGTGGGCAGATCATGAAGTCAGGAGTTCAAGACCAGCCTGGCCAACATGGTGAAATTCTGTATCTACAAAAAATACAAAGATCAGCTGGGTGTGGTGGTGGGCGTCTGTAGTCCCAGCTACTTGGGAGGCTGAGGCAGGAGAATCACTTGAACCTGGGAGGCAGAGGTTGCAGTGAGCTGAGATTGCACCAGTGCACTCTAATCTGGGCCACAGAGTGAAACTCTGTCTCAAAACAAAAACAAAAACCCATGCCAAGAAACAACCTTTAAGTACAGAGTCCCCAAATGAGCTTCAGGAGAAATTTTATCAGTTCAATAACTGAGTAACATTGACCAAATTGCTGAATTTCTCTTTCATCTATTACAACAGAAAATGAGTATGCACTGAATATCTGCATCAGACATTTTCCTGTGACACCCTCTCCCCAAATCGAGTAAGGTGCCACTGTTAGATTCTTCCACAGCCCCCAGTGTTTACTCTTCTAGTATCCTGTATCTCATGGTACTAAAGGCAGATATCTTTTTTGCTCACACTCCTCATTGGATGTTTCCTCACAGCACAGCCTCTGTCTTGTCTATCATATCTCCCAGTGCTTAGCATTAGCACAAGCATCATATATCCCAGTGCCTGTGATATTTAAATGATTGCCAAATAAATGAATGAGTAAACAAATATATTAATACACGGATAAAAAATAAATAAGGCATGCGTTTTAGTTATTTATGACTGTATAACAAAAAGCTCCAAACCTTAGAGACTATAAACAGTAATTTACTATTTCTTGTGATTCTGTGAGTTACCTGGGAGGCTCTTCTGCTGTTTCACCTGAGCTCATTCACGGTGCTGCATTTAGCTGGGGGATTTCCAGGGGGTTGAGCTCTGATGAGCCAGCTGAGGATCTGGACGTTTCTCTCCGAATCTCTTTCATCTGCAAGTTGGCTCCCTGGACTTCTTAACATGGTGGGAGCAGTGTGCCAATGCGCAAACACTTACTGAACTCCCATCGTGCTTGTTGACATCTCTTTGGCCAAGGCAAATCGTTTAGCCAAGCCTAAAACATGGGAAGAAATTACACATGGGTATGAATACTGTATTTGGGAGACCCTGAGTGTAATAATCAACAACGTGTCTCTATCTTAAGGGATTTCTTAATCCAGAGGTGTTCAATCGCTTGGCTTCCCCAGGCCACATTAGAAGAAGAATTGTCTTGAGTAACATATAAAATACACGAATACTAATGATAGCTGATGAGCTTTAAAAAATCCCAAAAAAGGCTGGGCACAATGGCTCACACCTGTAATCCCAGCACTTTGGGAGGCCCGGGCAGATGGATCGTGAGGTCAAGAGATCAAGATCATCCCGGCCAACATGGCGAAACCCTGTCTCTACTAAAAATACAAAAATTAGTTGGGCGTGGTGGCACATGCTTGTAATCCCAGCTACTCAGAAGGCTGAGGCAGGAGAATCACTTGAACCCAGGAAGAGGAGGTTGCAGTTAGCTGAGATCGTGCCACTACATCCAGCCTGACAACAGAGCAAGACTCTGTCTCAAAAAAAAAAAAAAAAAATCGCAAAAAAAATCTCATACACATTTTAAGAAAGTTTACTAATTTGTGCTGGGCTGCATTCAAAGCCATTCTAGGCTGCATGCCGCTCACAGCCTGCGGGTTAGACAAGCTTGTCTCAGTTGAAGCTGATGAGTGAGTATATAGCTAACCTAATGTAATGCTATGCCGGAGATAAGAACAGACTGCTTAGGATACAGGCACAGACAGCATTAGAGCCAGGAGATCTTATTTTGAACCTCCCCCTTTTATTAACTGCTGTGTGACCTTTAGGTAAGTTATTTAACCTGTCAAAATCGTGGCTTTATTATTCTAAAAATGGGTATAGGCCTACTTGGTATTTGTTGCAAATTCCTTCTAATATGACTTCCCATTCTAGAGAGGCTTAAAATGCCAAAACCTGTATTCATCAGACTCCTTTGCAGCTAAAGCTCTTGAAGTGACTTAGATCAACGGATGAAATAGGTACTATGAGAACTGACTTTGAAACTGAATCAAATGGGAAAATATTCAGTGGCCTGAAGGGCACCGAGGGCATCAGCTTTTGCTGGAAGGATCTAGCAGCTGTGGCACCACTCTGGGGCCAACAGTGCTGGTGGTGGAGTCATGTCCCAGTTACATGGCTTTGACCTCAAATCTGTGAGTCTGCAGTAGGCATTGGACTGTTCCACCTGCACTAGGGAGAGCAGTCCCTGGGCAGGCTCGTTCTATGGTAGTAAAGCGGGAGCCTTTCCTGGAGGTCTTGTCTAAAGCCAGTTCATTTAGACCTTTCAGAGCTTTGTAGGCATCAAATTCCCTTTCTGCTTAAGGCGGTGAGAGGACTGGGCCCTGATGGATAGGCTGCTTTTCAAGATTATTGTGAAGTTTACTTGAGACACTTTATGTAAAAGTGATTCATGCTTGGAAAGTGCTTATTTACTAAATACTAATATTCCTTCTCTTATCATTGTTTTTAAGACAGAGTTTTGCTCTTGTTTCCCAGGATGGAGTGCAATGGCATGATCTCGGTTCAGTGCAACCTCCGCCTCACAGGTTCAAACGATTCTCCTGCCTCAGCTTCCTGAGTAGCTGGGATTATAGGCATGCGCCACCATGCCCGGCTAATTTTGTATTTTTAGTAGAGACGGGTTTTCTCCAAGTTAATCAGGCTGGTCGCCAACTCCAGCCTCAGGTGAACCGCCCACCTCGGCCTCCCAAAGTGGCGGGATTCCAAGAGTGAGCCACTACGCCCAGCCTTCTTAAAATTTTTATATGCAAAATAACAGATGAAACCTCCAGATGTTTTTAAAGATTCTGACTCTCTCTTAGCGTTTAGTTGGCATTTAAACACAATCTTTAAACGAAAACCTCCAATCACACTAATATACATACAAACATGGAAATAAGTAGAGAGAGGCAAAATACATCTATTCTTATGCACCTTTTAACAAAGACTATGATCATGTTTTAAGATTAAGCAGCAGCTCACACCTGTAATCCCAGCACTTTGGGAGGCCGAGGTGGGCGGGAGTTTGAGACCAGCCTGACCAACATGGAGACACCCCGTCTCTACTAGGCGTGGTGGCACATGTCTGTAATACCAGGTACTCGGGAGGCTGAGGCAGGAGAATCACTTCAATCCAGGAGGCGGAGGTTGCGGTGAGCCGGGATTGCGCCATTGCACTCCAGCCTGGGCAACAGGAGCCAAACTGCATCTCCAAAAAAAAAAAAAAAAAGGATTAAGTGCCTGGTCCTAACCTTGGGCAAAGCATTTTACTGCCTCGATTTTTTGATTAAGGCCTTAGTGTCCTCATTTATAAAGTGAAGGAGTTGGAATTACATGCTTTCTAAGACTTCTTCCTTCCTTCCATGCTTCAAAACTGTGTGTTCTTTAAATCATTGAGCAATTACCTCCCAATGCTGGCCTATACATACACAGTCAAAGTTTATCTTCAGTTTCTAGGCTTCGCTAGTGGTCTGAAATTGTGTAAAAAGTGTTGGCCGTTTGTCTTTATGTACCTTTTATTTCTCAAATAAGCTAAGATAACCACTCCCTCTCATAAAGCATGTCTTAGCTCTTTAATTGATAATAATATATTTTCCTAACCAAATGAATATGGATCCAACACTCCTAAATACAATTCCTCTCCTCTTTTAACACTTAAGTAAGCACTGTCATCACTGATAACCTTTTTTAAATAATTAAAATCTATTGAGCCCTTATATTTTCTTTTCTTTCTTTCCTTTTTTTTTTTTTAAGATGGAGTCTTGCTCTGTTACCTGGGCGGGAGTGCAGTGGCGCAGTCTTGGCTCACTGCAACTTCCACTTCCAAGTTCAAGTGATTCTCCTGCCTCAGCCTCCTGAGTAGCTGGGATCACAGGCACCCGCCACCATGCCCAGCTCATTTTGCATTTTTAGTAGAGACTTGGTTTCACCATGTTGGCCAGGCTGGTGTCAAACTTCTGACCTCGTGATCCGCCTTTCTTGGCCTCCCAGAGTGCTGGGATTACATTGCCACCGCGCCTGGCCGAGCCCTTATTTTTTCTTATTTGCTTCATTTATTGCCAATTTAACTTCCACAACACCCCATACACTTTTTTGATATGAGATGAAACTAAGGCTGAAAGAAGTGAAGCAAGTTATCCAAGGTCACAGAATGACCGAGTGGCAGAGTTAGATCTTGACCAGGTTCATTTGAACTGAAAGTCTCTTAACAACTACATTAGAAGACTTCTTAATAATAGTAATAATAAGTAGTAGCACTGAAAATAATATTTTAGCTAACCTTTATTGAATGCTTACTATATGCCAAGTATTCTGCTCTCTTATTCATATCTGAATTCTGATCATTTACAGCTTAAACCCTATAAATGAAAAAAAATTGAAGCTTGTTAATTTTAAGTGTTTCTCCTTCTCCTTCTTATTCTTTTGAGACAGGGTCTCACCCTGTTGTCCAGGCTGGAGTGCAATGACATGGTCCTAGCTCACTGCAACCTCTGCCTTCCAGGCTCAAACATCCTCCCACCTCAGCCTCCCAAGTAGCTGGGAGGTGTGCACCATCACACCTGGATAATTTTTGTATATTTTTTTGGCATAAGCAAGGTTTCATCATGTTGGCCAGGCTGGTCTCAAACTCCTGGGCTCAAGCAATGCACCCTCCACAGTCTCCCAAAGTGCTGGGATTAGAGGAGTGAGCCACTGTGCCTGACCTAAGCGTGTCGTGACCAAAGTTATTCAGCTTCACTAGCAGAGCTAGACCGGGAACCTTAGCAGGGTGAACTCGGAGTGTTCTCACCTGCCATGCCTTATTGCCTCCTGTCTCCTGAAAGTGATGATACTGAGGGAAAAACCTTGACTCAGCTTTAATTTATGGACAAAATAATTTGTTTGCATATTTAAAAGCCATGTAAGTAACAAAATACTTATGGCATTCCCCTACAACTGATTCTGCCCATGAGACTGCCACCACTCCTTGCCTGAGAACCACTCACACAGAGACTAATGAGTACAAATAGAGGAAAAGAATGTATAGGCAAGAAAAACTATGGTATGAAGCCAGGCGCAGTGGCTCATGTCTGTAATCCCAGCACTTTGGGAGGCTGAAGTGGGTGCATCACTTGGGCCAGGAGTTCGAAACCAGCCCAGCCAACATGGTGAAACCCTTTCTCTACTAAAAATACAGCCTCCCAGGTAGCTGGTACTACAGGCACATGCCACCATGCCCAGCTAGGTGGTGGCGAGCACCTATAGTCCCAGCTATTCTGAAGGTCGAGGCATGAGAATCACTTGAGCCTGGAAGGTGGAAGTTGTAGTGAGCCAACTACAACCACATTGAGTGTGGCATGCCACTGCATTCCGCCTCCGTGACCGAGAGAGAGTCTGTCTCAAAGAAAAGGAAAGAAAGAAAAGAAGGAAAGCATTGGTATGTACAAACACTCCCCTTTTACTCATTTTTTTGAAGACCATAACTACATTTTAAATTAATTATTTGTTTATTTTTAACCTACTTCTGAAGAACATAACAACCTTCATTATTTTCCTGCCAGAGCTACAGAGTATCTGATCCTATTTCTATTAGGGTAGCAGGGTAGTGATTATGGGAAACCTCTTTCTATTACCCTTTAAAACATAACATTCAATGTTATATAGACATTAGTTTATAATTTATGGTGTTTTTTGGAAAAAAAGTATAGCCCTTTTAAGATCTGAATCAATCTTAGAAGTGAGCTGGATGCCTATTAGATTTAATGAGAAAAAAATTATAAATCTAAGCAATTAATTATTAATCACCTAACAGCCAAATACAGCACCTGTAGGCAGAGAGGCCCTCTCCTTTGAGGAGGCGAAAACTAATTGCAGAAGCAGAGATGCTGAGAAGTCACACTGGGAGGCCTGGAGTGCACACAGCAGTCGTCATTTCCCATTTGCTGAGCCACATTAAAAGGAAAGGTAGAGATCTAAGGAAAAAAATATTTAAGACACCTTGGGAAATTTATTTAATAACCGAGCATGAAAAAATAATGGTAATAATGAAAGCCCGTAAGAGAAGGGGTAAGGGGACGTTTAATCTGGGTTTCAGGAACTCCGTGAGCCTTGAGGTTTTCAATCTCTGAAAGGTCACAGGTCTAGTACTCAGTAGGTGCTCAAACATCATTAAAATAACCAGCTAATGGATGAATGGATGGATGGCTTTTCCCCTAAGTTTGAGAAAAGAGAAAATTTGATATTTGTAAACATTATTGAAGATAGTACTTGTTATAGAGTAAATGTATATGTTACCCCAAAACTCAGATGTTGAATCCCTTTGGAGATGGGGTCTGTGGAAGGTATTTAGGGTTAGATGAGGTTACGAGGATGGGGCCCTGCTCTAACAGAGTTAGGGTCATCATAAGACAGACACAGGAAAGTTTGTTCCGTCCCTTACTTGTATGCATACCAACTGAGGAAGAGCCATGTGAGGACATAGCAAATCAGATGGAGGACCCGCACGAGGAACTGAATGGGTCAGCACCTTCATCCTGTACTTCCCAATCTCCAGAACTGTTAGAAATTAATTTCTCAGCCTGACCAACATGGCGAAACCTCGTCTCTACTAAAAGTACAAAAATTAAAGAGGTGAGGCCCGGTGGCTCATGCCTGTAATCCCAGCACTTTGGGAGGCTGAAGTGGGAGGATCACAAGGTCAGGAGATCGAGACCATTCTGACCAATACGGTGAAACCCCATCTCTACTAAAATGCAAAAAATTAGCCAGGTGTGGTGGTGCATGCCTGTAGTTTCAGCTACTTGGGAGGCTGAGACAGGGGAGTTGCTTGAACCTGGGAGGTGGAGGTTGCAGTGAGCTGAGATTGTGCCACTGCACTCCAGCCTGGCAACAGGGAGAGACCCCGTCTCAAAAAAAAAAAAAAAAAAGTACAAAAATTAGCCAGGACTGGGTGGTGGCAGGTGCCTGTAATCCCAGCTACTTAGGAGGCTGACGCAGAAGAATCACTTGAATCTGGGAGGCGGAGGTTGCAGTGAGCCAAGATCACATCACTGCACTCCAGCCTGGGCAACAAGAGCGAGACTCTGTCTCAAAAAGAGAAAAATCAATTTCTGTTGTTTAAACCACTCAGTCTGTGGTATTTTGTCATGGCAGCTCACACAGGCTAAGATTGTACTTATACCCAAGTCCCATATATCTTTAAAGCTTATGCTACTTGGGTACACATATAAATATAGAATAGTACATAGATTATACATTGTAAATATATTTATATGTAAATATTGGTCATTTTAATTTCTTTTTTTATTTTTTCTTTTTATATTTTTTTGAGACAGAGTCTCATTCTGTCACCCAAGCTGGAGTGCAATGGCATGATCTTGGCTCACTGCAACCTCTGCCTCCCAGGTTCAAGCGATTCTCCTGCCTCAGCATCCCGAGTAGCTGGGATTACAGGCACCCACTACCACGCCCAGCTAATTTTTATACTTTTAGTAAAGACAGGGTTTCACCATGTTGGCCAGGCTGGTCTCGAACTCCTGATCTCAGGTGACCTGCCTACCTCAGCCTCCCAAAGTGCTGGGATTACAGAGGTGAGCCACCACGCCCGGCCTGGTCATTTTAATTTCTAAAAAATAGTTACTTTTGAATGTAAAATAACTTCTCAATTGAATGAAAATTCTACCATTTTCTATGACTCAGAGGACTACATCCAAGAAGTAGGTATTCAAATCATGGGGCCATACCTAGGGCCCCTCAGTTAATGTGGAATATAAGATAATATCCACACTGTTAGCAGCATATCGAGGGAGGAATTCAGGTCTCTTGAGTATAGGCGAGGCACAAACCCATACTTCACAGTTCACTTTCACGTGTCTCTCTTTTTATTTCTCACTTGGGACACATAATGATAGAAAACTAATCAGAGGCTAGTGGCCATGACCTGGGGTATGCCAGAGGCACTATGGGGGAGCTGTAAGGGCTTTCAGTGGAGGTTCAGAGCCCCTGGGGACGGTTTCTGGGGACAGGGCCTTTCTGGGAACTTCAGAGCTGGATTTCTGTCTCATAGTAAATACAAATCAACCCTAAGTATCGGATAGTTAGAGTGCTAATAAGTCCCCAGTTATGAGAGCTCTTGCTTTATGCATGGGAGCAGTTCCTTCCTTGGGTTTACATAGCCAAGAGCTGATAGCTTTTTAAAAATTTGTCATAAAGGTGAGTGTCTCCTTGAGAGCATGGTTTGATAAGAGTACCAAAATCCTGGAGATGAGGGTTAGAGCTCATCCCCATTTCTTATTAACTATGATCCTTAGAGTATTGTTATAGTTTACTGAGATTTTTTTGCTTCTCTGCAAAATGGAGCTAATAATTTCTGCTCTACCTGCATTAGCAGTTTAATCTCAGAAACAAGTGAGGAACATTTGGGCATGAGAAAACCTTTTAGGAATATAATTTTTTTTTTTTTTGAGACACAGTCTCGCTCTGTTGCCAGGCACCAGGCTGGAGTACAGTGGCGCGGTCTCCGCTCACTGCAACCTCAGCCTCCTGGGTTCAAGCACTTCTGCCTCAGCCTCCCAGGTAGCTGGGACTACAGGCACATGCCACCATGCCCAGCTAGTTTTTTTTGTATTTTTAGTAGACACAGGGTTTCATCATGTTGGCCATGAGTGTCTTGATCTCTTGACCTCGTGATCCACCCGCCTCGGCCTCCCAAAGTGCTGGGATTACAGGCTTGAGCCACCATGCCCGCCCTGGAATACAATTTTTTAAACCAGCAGTTGGCAAACTCTGGCCCACAGGTTAAATCTATCCCACTGCATATTTTTGTATGGTCTACAAGCTAAGAATAGTTTTTACATTTTTAAATGGTTGAAAAGAAGGATATATTATGATGTGAAAATTATATGAAATTCAAATTTCAGTGACCAGATGAATGAGTATAAATATTCATTTGTTTACGTATTATCTATAGTTTATCTTATATCTTAACACTACCATGTTACAGTTGAGTATCGCCCTTAAAATATTTACAGTCTGGCCCTTTACGGAAAATATTTGTCAACCCCTGCTCTACACAAGTGTATAAGTCAAGGTTTTCCAGAGAAATAGAACCAGAAGGAGACATATGTTAGGCAGTTCTTGCACTGCTATGAAAATACCTGAGGCTGGGTAATTGATAAAGGAAAGACGTTTAATTGGCTCGTAGTTCTGCAGGCTTTATAGGAAGCATGGTGCTGATATCTGCTCTGCTTCTTGTGAAGCCTCAGGGAGCTTTCAATCATAGAATAAGGTGAAGGGGAAACAGGCACAGCACATGGCAAAAGCAGGAGCAACTAAGAGGCTGGGGGTCACTTTTGAATGACCAGATCTTGTGAGAACTCACTATCGTCAAGACAGCACCAAGCCATGAGAGAGCCACCCCCATGACCCAAACTCCTCCCAGCAGGCCCCACCTCCAGCACTGGGGATCACAATTCAACATGAGATTTGGGTGGGGACAAATACCCAAACTATATCAAGACATATCTCTATATATCCTATTATAGGATATCTATATATGTATACACACACACACATACACACACATATATAGGAGGAGAGAGGGAGAGAGAGAGAGAGAGAGAGAGAGAGAGAGAGATTATGGGAACTGGTTCATGCCTTTATGGAGGCCAAGAAGCAAGAAGTCCCATGATCTGCCATCTATAAGCTGCTGGTATAATTTAGTGCAGAGCTGAAAGCCCAAGAACCAAGAATACAGGTGTCCAAGGGCAGAAGACAGATGTACCAGTTCCGAAAGAGAGAGAATCAATCCTTCCTCCACCTTTTTGTGCTACTTGGGTCCTCAGTGAATTGGGTGATGCCTACCCATATTGGTGAGGACAGATCTTCTTTACTCAGTCATCTGAGCAAACGTTCCTCTCTCTCAAGGCTTGTTCAATAGGCTCATGAATAACCATCCTGGGCCCCAGTGATAGAGCAAGTATATTCATAGACTTACCATCATGGACTTTGCTTCTGTCCTTGGGGAAGAAGTGCTATTGTCACTGGCTATCACCACTTCTGAGTGCCCAACTTGTTCTCAGTGTTAACTAATCCTGGGGTTTGAATATGCAACCATATTCCCGAGGCACCCAGCCAGTCCTCAGCAACTGGACTCCTCCTGCAAGTGGGAAGGCAGCAGTCCATCCTCTCTGGAACAAATCTATGCTCTGGGCTCAGAGTTGCTGTCCCTGCCCACCATGCTTCATGTTTCTGCCCTCAGGATCTGTAGAAAGAATGGATGCCAAGGTCACCAGCAGGCAGCCCACCAGCCTGCTTTCTGAACAAAGTAAGGCAGTACATGGAATGTACAGGACTTGTTTCTTAACACCCAAAGCTGCTGGCCTTATGGAACAGTAGTGACAACTCATATTTACATGCTGGGTACGCCACTGAGAACCTCTCCTATGACAACTCATTTAACCCTTAAAACACCCTTTTGAGATAATTACATAATTATATTAATTTCTAAGAAGAGGACACTAAAGCAAGTATGGCTATAGACTGACTCTCGTCACGCAGTGCGTGGGGTCTGAGACTTGAACCCAGACAGTCCAGCTCGAGCCTGCACTCGTAACTGCTACTGCTCATAACCACACTGCCTGCAACAGAGGAATGGAATGGCCCTTCCAAGGCCCAGTTACAGTGTCTTATTAGAAAGAAAGGCAGGTGAGGTTACTTGTGGTTCTAGAGGGTGACGTTTATTTTTTGAACAAGTGGCCTATCTATGGTGCCATTTCTGCCATAGCAAGAATATACTCATCTGCGAATCAAGAGGGTGGAAGCTGGAGTTACACTCCACCCACTTCCCACGTGGGAAGTTTTGCTTATGTTCTTCATAACTCAGTGCTCCACTGACACAGAGGATTTAGAATCCAAGGAGGAATCGTCAAGGGCAATAAAGCAATGGCTCCACTGAATTAGCAGCTGAATTATTGGCCCATTTTAGGCTTCTCATGACAATAGTGAACAGGCAAAAAGAGGAGCTCTGGAATCGATCAGGCTGCTTGAGCCCAACTATTTCAATTAGAATGTATCAGTTAGGGTGTATCTGGCTTTAAGTAACAATAATGGCAATACATTTAAAAATGACCCAAATGGCCTGGTGCGGTGGCTCACGTCTGTAATCCCAGCACTTTGGAAGGCTGAGGCAGGCGGATCACAAGATCAGGAGATCAAGACCATCCTGGCCAACATGGTGAAACCCCGTCTCTATTAAAAATACAAAACTTAGCTGGGTGTGGTGGCACATGCCTGTAATCCCAGCTACTCGGGAGGCTGAAGCAGGAGAATTGCTAGAACCAGGGAGTTGGAAGTTGCAGTGAGTCAAGACTGTGCCACTGGACTCCAGCCTGGCAACTGAATGAGACTTGTCTCAAAAAAAAAAAAAAAAAAAAAAAAAAACCCAAATCATAACAATCTAAATCATACAGGTCTGGAGGAAGGCAGTCCACAGGTGGATTCAGTGGCTTAAAGATATCCTCCAAGAACCAGGTTCTTCCCAGCACCTTCCTCCCTTGGCTGCTTGGCAATGCCTCCTCTGATGGTGCCAAAATGGCTGCCACAGAACCTGAAGTGAGTGTGTGAGTGAAGCAAAGGACTGGGGACAGTGGGGAATCGATTTCTGTGACTGCCTCCTGCAGTGTCCAGGCCAACACTTCCCTGTGGCAGCACCAACCATCCAGTGCGGGTGGTGCCACCAGGATGACCGCGACTCAGCTGCGCAGCGGCCTTCTCAGCAGGTAGTCCCATCACTTCCCTGTCTCCATTTGTTCCTAGTCATTTTCTGACCCTGGTTCTCCAAGCCCTCACAGTGAGTCAGTAAGCTCCCTGATAGCTCTTTGGTTCTCTTTTTCCTGCTTATATCAGCAAGAATCAATTTCTGATGTAGCTAAGAAATCTGACTGATAACATGGCTGTTTAATTGATCCATTGAAAGTGAGGTTTTCTTTCTGGTGTTAAAAAAAATTTTTAATTATTTGTTCATGTATTTTTTTTAATAGATGGGGTCTTGCTATGTTGGCCAGGTTGGTCTTGAACTCCTGGCCTCAAGCGATCCTCCCACTTTGGCCTTCCAAAGTGCTGGGATTACAGGCATGAGCCACCGTACCCAACCTCTTTTTGGTGTTTTCAATGGGTTTCAAAAGATTGCTAGGGGGCAATTACACCTTTACTAGTATGTAGGCTTTACCAAATCTCTACTTAGTTTATTTTAATGGCTTCCTGTTAGAGAAATTCAGGCCACATAAGTCCTGAAAAATATTCTGGGAAAGAGGCATAGCTGCTCACAAATACCATTTATTGAGGGCTTACTATGAGCCTGGTACTACAAAACGTGATTTAACACGGATTTAATTCTCATTGTGTTGGCTACGTTTTACAGATAAGGAAGCTGGTATGTAGTTCAGTCACACAGAGTACAAGTAGCAAATGACCGGTGTTACCCGACTGCAATGGCCTGGGATCTTTCCAATGCACCAGGTCATTATTTTCATTTACTTCTGTCGTCAGAAATTAAAGCAATAGACTGCGCACTACCAAAGTCTCCATAACACTGCTAAGCCGGTTGAAGTTGATATCAAAGGCATCTGTCTTGGAATCTATCCAAAGGATTTTGTCTATTCAAAGGACTGCAGACATTGATCACTTTTTAATGTACAGTAAGGTCAGTGGCACAAACTCTGAGGTTAAACAATCCCTGCCTTGCACTGGACTTACCATGCTGGATCACCCACAAACCCTCTAAGAGAAACCTCACACCTCCATCCAGTCCCTGTAACTGAAGCAGGCGTATTTTATACTAATTGCCATAGTTAATGAGCAAAAGACTACTTGCCTGAAGGTCATCAATTTACAGACTGGCCTGTGGCTTATGCAGCCTGTCTTAGAAAGATGGGTCATTCAGATGGGTCTTATCTAAATTAGGAATTGGGAAACTGAGAAAGAGAGGGGGTTAGCAGTAGAGGTGAAGGTAAAAGGATGCTTTGATGTAAAGTTGATTCAAAAGTCACATTTTAAAGCTAATGTTAAGAGGAGGTAAGTTTATGCTCTCCGAAACAGAGGACGAGGAAGCTAGTTGGTGGAGAGAAGAGGGTGCAAAAAATGGGCAGAGAGAAATAGTGATATTCTGGAAAAGGGACAAAAACAGGAAGGGGAGGGAGAGAAGGGAAGGGGAGAGACAGAAGAGATGGGGAGGGAGAGAAGGGAAGCAGAGATGCTGAGAGAGAGACCTATGCCTCGGGCTTCCTGGATTTTCTGAATTTTCCAGGAAACTTCGGTGGATCCCTGTTCCTTAAACCCACTATACTTTTTGAAACTCTTTCTCATCAACCTTTAAAAAGAAACTTGTGAACTCATTTGTCTTTCGTCTTTTTAGTTTTTCCCCATTCTTCTTCCTGTGACCTAAGTAATCCAATAGCTAGAACCAAGAGAAAAGTGAAACAGAAAGCAAGCCTGGATAATCCGCAAACATAAAGGCAGACACTGAAGGGTGGAACTTGATTATTTTGTGCTAAACCCTCGGCTTTTACAACCCCTCTGCTCCCCTCTGTGGATAAAGGCAGAATTGAGAGGATTTTTTTTTTAATTCTATAAAATCCCAAAGCAGAAGCAAAATGAAATTCTTCTCTATGACTTCTTTTTATGACCACGAAATGAAAACATCAGTGCACTTCCTTATAAAAAATGTGTTTTTTTTTTCTGATTCCGCAACCTCCCCACTTAAGTCTAAGGTGTTCTAAACACACACCTGGATCTTACCTCTAAAATGCCAGGCAGAGGGTTTGAGTGGGAAAAGCCAGAGTGGGCCGTCATTTTGCTATAGGTTAGCTAGAAGACTAACACCCCTCGTCCACATGAATCTACTTCACACCAAAGCAAAGAAAGGGAGGGCCTGTCTCCCTGTATGACCAATGATAATGATCCCCTATAGCGGCTGAAGGGTTGATGGAGGCTCTGAGAATAGTTTCATCTCCGGCTTTTGGCTTTCAAAGCTCCTTCTGTCAACCTGCAGAGAAGGGTCTCCCGGGCTCCTCTGCTTTTATCTCCTCCTATCTGCTATTGTTTTCCCTTCCTCAGCATTGCACAGAATATAAGTTAGTAATGAAGAAACTGTGGTGCAAAGCTTAAGCCTCTGGACTCTAGAGACAAACCTCTAGAGTTCAAACCTTGCCTGTGCCACTTACAAATAGATTGATCTCTTCGAGCTTCAGTTTCCTCATCTGCAAAATGGGTGGTATTATTACTTTCTACCTGTAGGACTAAGTGAGGTGCTATTTGTAAGGGGTCCAGGAGAGTGTCTAGTACATAGTGCACCATAATAAGTGCTTGGTAAATGAGCAAACCTACTCCAGGGAAAGGAGACTCCTCCACAAAAGAAGAGCCAGGCTGGTGGAGGTAGAGCTTTCTTTGAAAAGAACCGTATTGTGCTTCTTGCTATAGTGATTTGTTTTCTTTGCAGGAAATTTCCGTTTCATAATTAATCTCTACTAGGCCACTGACTATTCTAAAGTAAGAGGGTTTTTCAAATAATAGGAAATGTGCTTTTGGAAAAAAGAAAAATTAAAAACCGAAACGTACTGTTAAATATAGCTTAATTAACTGGCAATTTTCGGCATGGAAATCAGCAAAAACGAAAAAGAATGAAAGAGTTCAAGGTAGTTGTGCCGAAAGACCTGGGCTGCATTCCTGCTCTGCAGCCTTTCAACCATTTCACCTCTGGCAAAGCCCCTCCTCTCCCTGAACTTCAGTATCTGCAAAATGGGGACCCTTGTACCTGCCTCCCAAGGAGGTCTGGAGTATGAAGATGATGTGGCACAGTGGCGGCTACAGGGTATGCACTTAATGCCTCAACAAGTGTTAGAATTTACACTGGAAACGTTTCCACCAAGCTCACACAGAGTCCTACAGAGTTTGGCTCAGGACTCAATAACCTCTTTTGGCACACTTCTACCGAGCTGGGTCATCCGGTTTCCCACAACTGGCTGACATGATGGGCGGTTCGAGAACACTGCAAGATAAAACACACTAACAAGTGATAAAACGGGCAGGGCTAAAAGAGACAATAATCACATAAAGAAGGAGAAGGTAGAACATTTTGGAAAAATAGGACAAAACAATTCCAAAGTTTAATTGTTTGGGGTCTTAAGTGTAGACCATACTCTCCTCTGAAGGACTACTACCTCACAGCCCAGTGCAATGACGGGCATTCCCACGATCCCAGGCCGTTGGGCACCCAGAGCTCTTTCAGACTCTTTCAAGTCTGAAAGATCCTCCTACAGTGGAATGTGCTTGCACTCCAGGGGAAAGGGACTTGGAGGAGGAAAGCACCGGATTATCTCAGGTTATCTGGAAATGAACTTCAAGAAGACTGGGAGAGAGAGGAGAGAGAGAGAGGCTGCCTGAGGTCCCAGCTCCTTACAAGATCTTCAGAGATTTGAAGGGGCTGGAAGGATACCCTCGTACTAACTATATAGAGGAAGAAACACTTGGAACCGAGTTGAGGTGTGCTCCTAGCTACTGGAGGACAAGTTGAAAATGTTTCCCTTTGGAGAGGAAAAGAAGATAAGTAATAGAAAGGGCTTGGTAGAAACTTTTTTTTTTTTGAGACGGAGTTTCGCTCTTGGTACCCAGGCTGGAGTGCAATGGCACAATCTCGGCTCACCGCAACCTCCGCCTCCTGGGTTCAGGCAATTCTCCTGCCTCAGCCTCCCGAGTAGCTGGGATTACAGGCACGCGCCACCATGCCCAGCTAATTTTTTGTATTTTTAGTAGAGACGGGGTTTCACCATGTTGACCAGGATGGTCTCGATCTTTTGACCTCGTGATCCACCCGCCTCGGCCTCCCAAAGTGCTGGGATTACAGGCTTGAGCCACCACGCCCTGCCAGCGGTAGAAACATAATTATCAATGTTTAGATTTTATTTGTTGAACAGATGCACTGTGGTGCACTGAAGGTACTAAACTCAGCTCAACTCCTGACCAGAGCAGACCACCTTTGGGCAGGGACATGCAGTACAGAAGGTGGGCAGCCCCTCAGCATGGGGGATTGAGAGCTTGGCTGTGGAAGCTCGGTGCCTGGGTTCAAACTCAACTCTGACTCTTACCGTTTGCCTGACCCTCAGCTTAATCTAACCTAATCTTTTCTGTCTAAAATAAACACCTTATAGCATTGTCGTGAGGATAATTGTGTTAACACACATAGAAGGCACTTAGAAGACTGCCTGGCACACTGCAATATTTCCACCAGTGTTAGCTGTCGTCAAATACATTCCTC